GTGGTGGCGTCAACCCTCCTTAACATCGACTCGTCTCCTCTCTCCCTTTGTTTGCACTCCTTACCCGCGTATTTTTATAGTACACACTTTGTTCACGAGCACTCTTTGGTTTCTCCCGGCCACCGCGCCGTTTTCTTCGCCCGTTTATACGTTTGCAGAGATACGTCGGACTAGTGTCGGACTTTAGTCGTACACACGCATCGACGCACACGCGGACAGTTTGGAGCGGAAGGAAGAAAATTTTTGAAATTTACGAGGATCCCGTGGGATCGGTTAATCCCCGATAGCAGCCAGCAGAGCCAGCAGAGCCAGCGCCGTAGCCAGCCGGCGTAGCAGCTCGACAGAGCAGCTTTCGCGGCTCGTAAAGTATCGTTTAGATGTCGCGAGGTCCACGCGCGGATTTCGAGAGCACCCGTTGTGCAGGATTTCAGACCGGCTCCGCCAATGGCAAATCTTGTACTATACAAACCCCGGTATATCTATGTGGAAGGTACACGACTCTAATACATAGTTCAGTACTCTATCTACATACGTGCGAGCTAACATCGCGCTAACTCCGCTCTCTGGCCAGCTCGACCTACCTTCCTCTCTCTCTCCCTCCCTCCCTCCCTCTCTTCCCCCCTTCAGCCCGTTTAGCCCACCCTCCTTTCTCTTCGCCGTTCTGCCGTACGCCGCTCTACTCCGCTCTACTCCGCTTTGCACTGCTCCACATCCTCCCCCTAGGCATCGTCGCCGGCCGGGTATATACACGTTTCTATCCCTATTCCTAACGGCGGCACAGGCATCGAACACACCCCGCGATCCGGCCGAAGAGACAGGGAGCGTGGTGGTTCATCGGGACACGCGTGACTGCGTGCCTGTACGCGTACGCGCGCGCGCGCGTGTGTGTGCGTGCTCGTTCGCCGACCACCGACGTTGCTTGCGGCTTAGCACGGCTCGACACATTATTCAACGGATAATCCATTCCTTATATATTAAAGCCTGAGAATGATCTATCGTCCCGATAGATCGGCGAACGGGAAATTACCAGAAATCTCTCGCCGTCCGTCCGTTCTTTCTTTCTACCTTTTCTCTCTCGATCGTACGGGAGAATCGCACGAGGCTCGGCACCAGTCGTTTCGCGAGGCCACTCAACTTCGCTGAAATAATATACACACGGAAGACGTATTTATACCGGCTGGATTCAGCAGCAGCCGTTATCTTTGGCTCGCGAGGAGTCAAGAACACCGGAAGAAAGACGAGAGAGAGAGAGAGGGGACGAAAATCTGGTTGGCGGTCGGTTGTTCTCGTCGACTTCACGGCTCGCATATAACCGAATCGATTTAAAAGCGGCACACTCTCCGATCCCGTTTCCGTTCCAACTGGGAAAAAGCTGTACGGTCTGAATCGCTGTCGAATAGGGTAAGTCGAATCGCGGACGAAATCGGATACGCGGCTAAACGCTTTAGAGAAAGTTCGCGTTAAATTCCAGTGACAGAGCCGCGCTCTGGGGGGGTGATCGAAGAGGGTCGGTGGGTGGGTGAGGATGAAGAGGGTAGAGTGTGGGGCGGCGTTTCGCTGGAAACCAATATATTTCGTCGCGTCCACGCGACTATTCGAGAGGAGGATTTATCTGGACGATCGGTCCTATCGAGCGCAGCCCGTACGTGACTACCTGTAGAGTCCCGCTCGAAATAAAACGGAACGACGAAAAAGCAGTGACCGGCAAAGAGCGCGAGAGACTCGTGAAAACGAGCAAAACGGCTCGGCCAGAACGCTCGGGGGTTGACGGGAGGGAGAGAAGGGAGGGAACGGTTGCTCGTTGAACGACGACAGTCCGCCGGCACCGGGTCGCGTACACAAATAAACCGACTCGCTAAAAAGCGCGTCGTCGCTCCCAATCGAACAGGACGCGATTCGTTAAGTGATAATGACGAGTCAACGCGTCAACAGGACCGCTGTCCTTCTCCCTCCGCCGACATCTCGATTACCTCTGTAAATTGTAAACAATTTAAACTGCCCGCCCAAACTTGGCCGTGTTCCCTCCGCGCTCACGCCTGTGTGTTATTCTCTACTTTAAACCGGTGTAAATTGGTTCGGTGGAAAGTTGACGGAGTAAGGACTCTCTTTTAGCACGTTCGGGCTGAACGGTTTTGAAAAAGGAGAAAGAGAAAAAAAACGTTGACAGCGAGTGAACGACCCCGTTTCACCAGCGAAATTCACAAGGTAACGTTTCTTGCGGTAGGATAAGTGTATTTTTGGCGTATTCGACGCGTCGCGACGCGCAACGTTAAGTGACGTGTACAGACTGGGATATACATGCAGAACGATTTAAACGTTGCCAAGCGATTGTAAACTGATTTCATTTATTCGGCCGACTGTTGGTTGGCAAGACGTTAAACAAAATGTACCTGTCACTTTCCACTCTTGGAGAAGTGTACGTAGCTACACGGAGACTCGGAAACCTTCCGAAGGTATTTCATTTTTTCCAATTGCCTGACATTTCTTATCAACTTTTATCCAATTTACGAAAGTTCAAATAAATTTTGCACCATGACAAAATAATGAAAACCGCGAGCCCTGAAAAAATAGCGGATAAATTTAACACAAGTCCGAGCAGTATAGCCGTGAAAATGAAATGATCGAAAACGCAATATAGATGGAAAAACCGAAAAATGACGCTGTGTCGCCTGAGAAATCCGCGTTGCAAAGTGAACTGGGTTTAATTGGTACACGGGGCTTGAGAAATTTCGTAGCCGTGCAATTTGCCGACTCAAGTCGGCGGATTTCGAACTATATTTTAGGTGAACTGTCCGGATACGGATTCTATCCCAGCCTGTACGCCAGTTGACGCCGCGATTCCGATGTTTTCCACGCATCCCGCGTACCGATGAATAAAATACACCGTTGTTTGTGTTCGCTTACGCGTGACCGGTGACAGAGAGAGAGAGAGAGAGAGAGAGTTGCGACTATCGGTAGAATAGTTTGTACGCGCGATATCGGTGAATAAAATACGAAGGCGCGTGTGTGCGTGAGAGGATAACACAGGCTGCGTGCGCGCAGATTCGCGACCCGCAAATGTTTTTGCGCGTTCCTACGACAATTAACGCGCTTGCCCGACACCCTCTCCCCTTCTTTTCCCCTCTATCGCCACGTTCGCCACGTGCGCTCCGCTACAATTTCGTCCTCGTCCATCGCGTTTTCCTTCCAGCTGGCGGCGAATCGACCGACGAACGATGGATCGAGAAAGAAGGGAGGAAGGGTCCTGTCCCCCCGCTTACCCTTTCCCCCCGATCCTCCTCCTCCGACCGCGTTCCCTCTTCCGACGTTAATTTAGACGAATTTCATTAGAACAAACGAACTTTGCTAATCCGCGCTAATCTGATTAGAAATTTGCCGTGGCTGGCGCAGCGTGGGGCGTCTGTGGCACCGGTGAAGGAGAGAACGAGCCTGCTCTCGCCGACTTCGTCCTCGTCCCTTCGCTCGCGTTCGCTCAAATCCCCCTGCATACATCCACTCTCTTTCTCTCTCCTCGCCTTCCGACGCCTATCCATTTCGCCCATGCCTATGTCCTTGCCCGGCAAATATTTGCAGGAATTAGCAACGATAGACGACTACCTCGTCGGAAGGTTCGCAGGATTTTCCGTGAGAATGTCCGGGAATTGGAAGCCTTTCCTAATTAGGCCGCGCTCGTCTGCCTCTATTCTCTGACTTTTGTTTATCGCGCTGCTTGGAACGTCGTCGCGTTGCTCCTCCTGAAAAATAAGCCGTGTCTCACGGCCGCCGCGCGAGCGACCAGTTGGCAAAAGTTTCCCTTCCTCGCGGAACAAAGTTTCGCCCGAGGTTTTTCGCGGAAACCGCTACTTAGTAGACACGGGGAAAGTTTCGCGCTTCCATTTGTCACCCGATGCGAGCCCATTTGTAACGTTTGAAGATTGAAACTTTCCCGAAAAATGCTTCCCCATCGGTGTTTCGTCTGGCGGGGGCTTTGCGCCGAACACCGTGTTTAATCTTCTTGCGCCGCGCGAGAAAAGAGGTCCAAGATAGCCGCGCGTCGAAAGTTTAGACAATTCTCAAGTGCGCTTTGAAAAAAACCGATCCATTTGTCCGTGGAAATATTGTACCGCGAGAATAAACCGTTCCACGGTTCGAAGAATGCGACGAGCAATTTTCTCGTTAATGCGACGCGTCGTGTTCAAGGCGCACCCCGAGACAGGCACACACGAGACAATGAAAAATGCACGCGTGACAAGATGCGCGCGCGCGCGATCAACTTGCACTCGTGGCGAACTCGATTTCCCTGTGGTGTGCGCGTCTCGATGCACGCCGTGCCTCGTATTTGCGGTTTTCTCCAGACGCGTGCACGCCTACCCACTTTTTCTCTATCGCCCCGCTCGACATCGCACAAGTCGCGGAATTATTTACTGGTTCGGCGCGGCGTCATCGTGAAAGAACGTCGAACCAATTATCGTTAGCTGATCATACCTAACCTTCCTCCTTCGTTTCGTTCTACCGGAGGTTGACACGAGCGGCGGAGAAGTGGGGAACGAATTTGGTTGAGCTTGGGGAGAAATAGGCGAGGGCAGGGGAAAAAGGGGCGAAAGAGGATCGAGGCGCGTATCCAATGAGGAGCGAAGCCCTTCGACCCTTAAAAATTAATTTGGAAAGTCAGCCGAGTGGTGTGGCTCCTGGAAACGATTGCCGGTATATGAGCGGTCTGGGACCGATCTCTCCGTGGGTATTGCGGCCCGCGTCGGCGGACGAAAACTTTTCAAATGAGCCAACTTTGCGTGTGTCTTGCGCTTTTGCCGCGTCTCGCAACCCCTTTATAGAGACCCGGAAAAACTGGCATATTAGTAAAGTTGTCGACAGAGACGCGAGCTTCTACGAAACCCGCGCGCTCCGAGGGAGGCGGCGAGAGCCCAACATCTTCCGGCCTCCGACGCGTTAGCCCGTATCGCCTTCGCCTTCGCCTGTTCAATTTCATTCGGTGTACTGTATTTCTTTCCTTTCTGTTTCAGGCCAAGTTGTTGGAATCATCCCACGCTTGGCTCGGAGCCTCTACATCGAGTATAGCAGGTAAGTTGTGCGACGCATTCTATCTCTACCTAACGAACCCGGCTGTCTCGGCAGCAGCACATTTCAGGAGATCGTAAATTTCTAATAAGACGGTCGTCGAGCTGCGCATCGGAACGAATTCTATCGAAACAATTCGTTCCAACACATTTTCGCGTCATTTCGGACATCCTTCCCTTGCTTGCCGATTACAAGCCGTATATCGGCAGAAACGGACGTGTCGCGAGAAGAAGAGGGAGGAAAGAAACGGTGAGACGAGGCGGCGGCTCGAAGAGGGAAACGGACCTAGAGGAGAGGGAACAAGCACGGAGAAGGACAGTGGAGGAAAGGAAGGATAAAGCTTGGATGTAGCAAGCGGCCAGTGATTTCACTCACTCACATCCGACACACTCTACCCCGTTTCGTCTTTCTCCGCGTTATCGCGAGCGTATTACACCTTCGATTCGCCTCGCGTCTCATCGTTTCTCCCCTTCTTTCCGACGCTCCTTTCGACCAACGAAAGAGAGAGACGACAAAGTGTTTGGGGGTTGTTAGGGTGGTTGAAAAGCGGGGGGTTGTTCTCTCTCGAGGTATTCCCGGGAAAACGTAGCGGCGAACGGTGTCCGTCGGCCACGCTACGAGCACCAAAGATCGCTCGATCTGGGTTAGGTGCAGAGGCCCAGGGTGTCACGAAAAAAACAAAAAGAGTCGAAATCCCTGACTATTTTCTAGCTGACTATTCTACCCTGCTGAAGCTGAAGGCGCCGACGTGGACACGGCACGATCTCCAGGAAGCGATCGAGGCTGTGGTTACTCAGAAGATGCGGTTCACCCAGGCCTCCACCAAATACGGAATACCGAAAGGCACTCTGTACGACAACATCCTGGGAAAGACGAAGAGAATGATGGTCCTCGAGGAGGCGGGGTTGAACTCGAGCGAGGAAACGGCGGTGCTCGAGTTCTGCTGCGACATCAGCGTCAGCCCGTACAATCGTCGGACGAAAAAGTCCCTGAACGCGATCCTCAACTTCGTCGAGAAACTCAGGCGAAAACGCGATCCTAGCTTTCTCTTTAACGGCCTCTCCGGGTTCCGTTGGTGGTGGGCTTTCTGTAAAAAACACTCGATAGTCTCGCTTTACTTCAACGACGAGAACGAGAACGAGAACGATCAGTGACCTGATCCATCTTCGAGTGCCTTTCTTCCCACGATCGATCCACGATCGGACGGATATCTTTTTCTCACATTCCATGCGCATTCCTCGTTCACCGACGAACCTTTCCTTCTTACTGTTAAGCGGGGCCAATAACCGGCGTTTAGAGTAATAGCAATAATAATAATATATTACGTTACCGCGGCTAACGATTATTCTAGCGATAAGACACACAGTGCCTTTTGCCCGACGTCTTCCACTCGGCCGCCGATTCTCGCGGTCCGTTCGTTGTCCTTTGCCAGCAGTCGTCGAGCCATCCATCGAAATTAGTTGGTAAATTGTCAATTTTACATGGGAAACTTGATCGTTGCCTTTTTACAATTCGTTCGAAGCGTGAATTCCAAGCTTGCTGGAAAAGTTTCGTTTCACCGACATTCCTGCCTTCTTTTTTACAACGGTTAGTTGTGTGTAGTCGAGAAGTGAACTGGCAAAGTGTGGAGGACGAAACTTTTCTAGCAACTTAATATTTGCCGAGGAGCTCTGCTCGAAACGGTTCGACGGCGCGTGTATTATATATTTTTGTACGCGGCGAGAAATTGCTAAAAGAGCGGGACGTTGCAGTTTCTCGTTTTCGATATACTCTGTCTCTCTCTCGCGTGACACGACAGCCGGCAGTAAGTCACCTTTTTCCAACCCCGTTGAATACTCCTCGAGCGGAGAGAGCGCGCGAAACTTTGGGAGATTCCAACGTGGAATCCTGTCGAATTGTTCCGAGACTTTAGCGTTAAGATCGGTGATTTCGTGACTTGGTTTCAATTCGGTTTCGCGCGATTAATCTTAACGGCCTAGAGAGATTCGGGAAGGGAATAGGGAAGAAGGCGTGTGCGCGCGGAGCGATCGATCTATATCGATGCGAGATATCGTTGGCAAGTCTCGCGAAAGACTCGCGGCCCCCGTCGGTACACGCGCACGCGCGCGCTTCTTTCCAATTAATTGTATTAATCGTCAAATTGGAGGATGCTCAATTAAACCCAATAAGTTAACTATTAAATAATCGTTGCGAATTGAGGCCAGCCGTCCGTGGCGCAGCCGGTATTCGAGCGTGTATCGCGCTCGCTCGCGAAGGCAAACGGTTGCGAGCCAGCGATTACCGTTTAACGTTAAGCAAAATATTTTCTATCAACGATCGAGCTTGTTCCGTTACGAACTCTCTCTCTCTCTCTCTCTCTCTCTCTCCTTCTCTCTTCACTCACTCACTCACTCACTCACTGACTCACTCGCTGACTTTTATTTCTTGTAACGATTGTATGCAAACGACAATACAATCGATACGTTTAACGTACACCACACGATGTGTTTAATTCCCCTTGCCTGTTACTCCTACTCGCCCCCGACTCCCCACAATTCTGTTGCCTTTTTCAATAGTTTGTTCGCAGGTACGCTTCGTCCAAGCAGCTACGAAGGAACCTGTGATACTCGCACCTTCGCCCGACTTACCTGCGTCTGGTTACATTTAGCCCATTTATAACGTCGTATGCTTGCATCGTTTCGTCCAATTCTCTTTCGATGCATTTGCCGTTCGGTTACGATAACGCGCGCGCGTCCTGTTACAACTTTGCCCGACTGCGAATCAACTTTTCGATCGGATCGATAAATCGATCACGTACGGACGTAATCGAGGCATTCGGAGCCGATAAAAACGAACGACGAAGAAAAAGAAAGGAAGGATCGAAAGGTTGATCATCGCGACGTGTATAAAACGCTTTACCGATCTTCGAGTTGCGAGGCTTACTAACGCTGTGCTTTTTCTGTTTTCTCTTTTCCACGGGGGGCGTAAACTAGCAGACAGCTACCAGTATCAGCTGCAATCGATGTGGCAGAAGTGCTGGAACACCAATCAAAGCCTGGTGCACAATCTACGCTTTCGCGAGCGTGGTCCGCTCAAGTCTTGGCGACCGGAAACCATGGCGGAGGCGATCTTCAGCGTCCTGAAGGAAGGATTGTCCTTGAGTCAAGCGGCGAGGTAACTAAATTATTTAAACTCGTGGTTGTTTAACCAGACGAATCCGGCCGGGCCGTTTAAGGAAAGTGCTGACGAAGAAATTCATTATTAGCCAGATGGATATTTGTGGCGCGACGGGACAAATGAAACTAAGAAAGTTCATCGGACCGTTGCAATTTTTTATGTAATTTTCCGTTGCTAATTATCCGAGATCGAAGACGGAATTATATCGGTTCGCGAAACCGGTGAATAGAGAGAGAGTTTCACCGTTGTTTTTTTCAACGACTAAACGAAATTAATTCCACCGCGTTACAGCTTGTTGGAACGAACAATTTGCCGTGAAAGTTTCGAGCGATTCGTACGAAACGATTTAGTTGGGAGAATCGCACAAAACTGTAACCTGTGCGCGGTTCGTTCCCTCGATGTACCCAGGTAGTACGTGTATGTAAATGGGTCGAAACAGGGAGAGAAAACAATTGGCCGTGTTGCGTTGCGCCGCGTTGCGCCGCGTTCGGTTCGGACGACCGGTCAACTTAAGAACTTTTACGGCCTGCTCGTAAAACGCGTATCGCACGTTAAAGGTTCTCTTCCTTTGTGCCAATTGGCGGAGAGCGAGGACCGAGGATCGAGGAGCGGTGTGTTCGCGGAACAAACCCGATAATCTTTTATCTTTACGAGATCCATCTCTCTCGGTTCGATCCTTCTCACGTCTTTCCGAATATTCTGTTGCAGGAAATACGACATCCCGTATCCGACGTTCGTGCTGTATGCTAATCGAGTGCACAATATGCTGGGACCGAGCGCCGATGGCGGAGCCGGTGAGTGTTAGTTCCCTTTTTCACTCTAGCCTCGGGATCTTGCCCCGTTTCTCGAGCAAAAATTCACCCAAAATTCCCCGATTCCGTACCAAGGACGAACCTACGTTACCTTTCTTCTTAAGAAAGAACGCGAGGTCGTAACGGTGGTTGTATTGAGAAACGGCGGATCGTCTCGTGCAGTCCACCCGATGCACTCCGTTCCCAAATACTATTCACTCGCTTCTTCTTGCTCGGTCAGATCTACGCCCGAAAGGTAGAGGCAGACCGCAGAGGATTCTGCTGGGCGTGTGGCCGGACGAGCACATTCGCGGGGTGATCCGGGCCGTCGTGTTCCGCGACGGCCACTCTCCGCACATAGTGAAGGAAGAGCCGACTACGATGTACCCGAGTTTGGCCAATTACGCCGCCTGCAACGGACCCGAAGGCGCGGTCAGCCCCGGAGCAGCAGCCGCGGCCGCGGTTGCCGCGGTCGCTCAAGGTAACCACCGCCGATAATTCTACCATTCTTGCCACTGCATACGATACGTAAAATAAAAAGAATTGTTTCTCGGCACAGGACTGCGACATCAGATGTGCAGCATGGTAGCAGCGGCGCACTCGCAACAACACGACATGATGGCGACGAATCTCTCCACGAATCTCTCCTCGAATCTCTCCACGAGTCTCTCGTCGAATCTACAGGCAGCGATGCAGGCTAGCCAGCATCACCACAACAGCAACAGCGGCGTACCTGTAATCGGTAGTAACAACGGGAGCGGAGGCGGAGGCGGGAACAACGGGAATTCGCCTTTAAATTTAGGCCTAGCCAGTCCAGGCTCGGGCGGTCCACCCGAGAGCCCGATGGAGAGTCCTCTGGCGAGCCCTCTCGGTCCGCTAATGGATCCAGGACATATACCGAGTAGCGTAGAAGTCGGAATAGGCGTGAGTGGAATGACGTATAAACCGGCGCGGAGCTTCGTGAGCCCGCGGCCGGAGAATCTGTTCCAAGAGGACATCGCGGACCTCGTGAAGAGTCCGCACGGGCTCAAGGACAAGGACAAAATCCCCGTGAAGCTGGAGCCGTTGACGGATTCGCGTTGCGAATAGTAAGCGAGGCGAGCTGGAGATCGAACGAGCTAATCGTTGCCCGTTGGATGATCGGCCGAACAGCGTCCTACTTCCATCGCGAGAAACCTTTTTCTCTTCGGCTCTTTCTTCGGGAGAACCGATTAATCTCGGCGCCGAGGACGCGCGGTACTTGGACGCGCGGTATTTAGACGCGCGATACGGATTATTCGAACTGCGACGGGACGCGCGGCGGCGGCGGCGGCGGCCCCCCCCCCCCCTCGTCCGTACGTGATGGAAACGTAACGTGAATACGGGACGAATCGATCCCCCACCCCCCGTACACACCGTTTCAGACCTCGAACCGTCCGTATTCCGGGTTATTCGTCCTTGTGGCCACACACCGCGCCGCGCACCATTCAACGAGAGCGAGGTCGCTCTCGAGACTTACAATCAAAACGAGGGGGAGAAAGAAGAAGAAGAAGAAGAAGAAGAAGAAGACGGCGACAAGAAGGAATATAGACGCGTATGTACGGTAGTAGACGATCGATGCTCGATCTTCGACATCCACCTCGAGCGAGAGGAGCTCTCTTCCGGCCTCGAGCATCGATCGCGGTCGCGATCGCTCCACTCTCACTCCGACGCAGCCGCCTATTTTAAGGAAACGTGTTCCGTAGCTAGCTGCTCGATTCGAGCTCGCTTCTTGTCTTCTTGTTGTTCGCGTGGCAGCCATGGCTCCGTTGGCAGAGTTGGGCTGCTGCGCGCTAAACCGTGGAGAAAATCGCGTGGAAACGCACGCGGTCTCTCTCTTACACTCGAGATTTATATATCTACGCATATATACGATAACCGTACGTTTAATATGCCAAATGTATAGTAATTGGCTGGTTAGTGGCCCTCGCGCCACCGGCCACCATTCGCGTCTATCGATCACACCGCCCAACAATCTCGGCGAGATACCTCGACTCGAACGGGATTGCAGAGTTTTCGATCGAGACGCGGCTCGTCGGGACTCGCCGCGGTTCGGAACCAACGTCCGTATAGAGACGCGACCGGAGAGAAAGAAAAAAGAAAACTGTAGTAGCGACGCGATTCAAGTTGCGAATCGAGAGAAAGTATCACCGAATATCATCGATTCGAGAAACGTTGCGCTTCCGTAACAATCGTCAGATGTCCTGCGAGAGCGAACGAGATGTACAAAATTCGCTTGCGAGACTGTTCGTCGAACGAGAAGACGACACTAAAATCTCTACGGAACGGAACGGAATAATGATAAAAGAGAGGAGGAGGAGGAGGAGGAGGAGAAGAAGGAGAAGAAACAAAAAAGTTGTTCGACTCGAGCGAACGCTTTAGCACGCAAAAGGGAGAACAAAACCGATTGCTGTACTTTATTAAGTGTAATGATTGCCTTCCTGCCATATTTGGGGTATGCCAAGTATAAAAATTATAAGGTTTAGAGATTAGGGAACGAAAAAAAAAAAGGAAAAAAGAAATTAAACTACCGCGAAATTCGTTGAATTTGGAACTGGAGAAAATGTCGATAGATGCGTGCGAGTGTGTCGAGATTGCCTGTACCCGTGTTTTGCGAGAGCGTGAAGATGCGAATGCTTTTTTTCGGAAAGATCGTGCTATTTTTCAAAATTTTACATATTACTACGCGTACGACTTTTCGCGAAGGGACCCTCGATCCTCGACAATCGAAGAACGATGCGTGCCGAGTAGTCGTCGCACCGAGCTGTTTTTCCTTTTTGGAACCCTCGACAGTTCTGGTTGGCCAGCACAGGGACGTCGTTTGCCACCAACCAAATTCGAATTTCTTTCGGATGATCCCCGTCTACTCCTCGATCGTTCTTACCGCGAACCGCCGTTCGACAGATTTCGTGCGACGTGTGCGAGAGCGAGAGTTCGTCTCTGACCTAGTCATCCTAGGAACCAGATAGAGGGGAAGACAAAGAGAAAGTGAGATGGAGAGGATGGGGAAGAATGAGAGTGCGAATGGGACCGGAAGAGAAAGAGAGAGAGGGAGGGAGCGCTTGTAACAGAGAGACCGGATCTTTCTAAAAAAAGGAAACACAAAAAAGCAAATTTTTTAAAGTTGGCACACTGGTTCGAGTGACTCTTTGTAAGTGTTAAAAAGTAAACAAAAAAAAAAAAAAATATTCGAAGTGGCCTTCTGTAAGAGGAAAAGACCATCGCTTTTCGCTTTTGCTCGGAAAAAAATGGGGCGTATAGGCTGTTCCGTCGTCGTGTTATCCGTTATCTAGGCAATTTTTTGGAAGAAAAAAAAAAGGAAACATTGTTCTCGCGCCACTCCCGTTAAACGAGAAAGCTTTAAACGGTTTGTACGAAAGTTTCGAGAGGGAATTTCGATTTAGCAAGGTGGAACTATCGGCGATTATAGAAAATTAATTCGGGGAAAAAACTCTAAAACGCGTTATTCTTGATACGAAAGATTTTTGGGCGAAACTTAAAGGGAAAAGAAGAAAAAAGAAGAGATATTCGACGGTCGAGTCGATGATGAGAAGAGAAAGAAAAAAGGTGCTGCCCCGATCGAGCACGTTTTATTTTTCGTGAAAATCGAAAGGACGCGCGCGCACGCGCGCGCGAGAATGAGAGAGAACAAGTGATTAAGGGGAAACGGGATGAAATGGGGGAGGAGGAAAGGGAAAGGGGAAAATACGGTAGATCGCGATTTTAAAAGATTTTATTACGATTTAGGCTTAATGTGTTCAACGAGAAGGTAAATTTGAACGAAACCAGGCGGCAAAGGTGGAGCAAAAGAAATTCGTGAGTCAAAGCGATGGGGGGATGGGGTTGGGGGAGAAAAAAGGTAAAAAGATATATTCAAAGAGCGGCGAACGAAATTGCGAGAAAGAATTAGCGGAAAAGACAC